AAAAAAGAAAAAGATCTAATAAAAAAGACTTCGTAAGAAATGGCCTTACCCTCACCTGTGTGACCCTGGATGGTTGTAGTTGTACGAAAAAAGAAACTGAGAAGTATAGTACTCTACAGACGCTGAAAGAGGGTACTCACCACGAAGAATGGGGGGACTGTCGCCACAATAAATAGGACGAAAACACGTACACACATTGAGACCCGACAAGGCTGATCTGGACGCATGCACGAGAGCAGCGAGTATACTGCTGTGAGGTTGAGGGCACAAGCTGCTGTGGAGAAGGGCTGCAGCCTATTGCCTGAATTTCCGTAGGTCAATGGTTTGGCATATCGTAGAGGACGCCTGCCATTTTGCATCTATTTTCCTATTGGTGACGTTCGCAAACGGGAGGCAGATGATGATAATTCCCTTTTGAGATCTTCTCAGAATTTCATGTGTACACGGCAACATTTCAGAGTGGTTGCATCGAACAACCTGAAACCGTCAGTATCCTTCTTCCTGCGACCTACATACCGTAAATGACACAATATAAGACACCTACACAATATAAGAAACCCCCCACAGTATACGACACCCCGGTGGTAATTTTGGCGTCTCTGACAGACCATCGAATTATCACCGGGGGTACACAATATAAGAAACCCCGGTGGTATTGTAGTTGCGCCGCATGTATTCGCGGGCCCCCTCCTTCTTTTATGACCCGGGGTGACAGCATCTGCCCTTGCGCATCATCACACCACACACACAGCTGTGTGCGGAGGAACACCCCGCATGCAGACCCCAAAGAACATGAACATGCAGGCAGAGCAGAGTGTAGCCGGCACTACCGGTAGTACCCCCGCTCCTTCGACCGCTGCTTCGGCAACTGCTTCGACTGTAGCAGCACAGGCGCCACAGCAGATCACCTCCTTCCTTGGGCCCGCACACTCTTCTTCTACGAGAGAGGCTCCTCCTGCCGGCACTCTTGCTCCTGCTGCTGCTGTTGATCTAACAGCAGCAGAAGGAGCTGGAGCAGCAACAGGCGCAAACATGACAGCCTCTGCATCGCCTCAGCAGCAGCCAGTTGCTGGCTTGATGTCAGCAGCGCGTTCGAGCACCGAAGCCGACGAATCAACGCGCAGCAGCCAAGCATCTCAGTTGGTGGACGTGGTGGACGAGGAGCCCACCACTTCCGCTGGGACGGAAGAAAGATCCAAGTGAGTGTGCATGGTTTGTGCTTCGTGGATTTGGCGTACCGTAGTATCAGTCCGCGTGTGGTCTCGAAACGTGCAATTGTGGGTTAGCCTTTACGCCAACCCAGGGTTCGTGTGGCTGTTTTTTTTTTTTTTTTGCGCCACACTCTCCCGGTAGGTACATTTATCGTTACTTTATTTATTTTGCGTGCGGCCTTTTTTTTTTAGCCACACGTTCCCGGCACACATGTTGTGAGTTGTTTTGTGTGCGTGTGGCTCAACACGTTCCTGGTAAACGATTGCGTGCCCGTTCCGTCATTTGTTTCGTTGTATTATTTTTATGGCCATACCTACGTCGGTATTGTGCACATTTTATCGTTTATGTTCCTGCATGGCGTTATGTGTCGTGGAAATGCTGCCTCTTGTTTTGCAGCTGGCATCCATACCACCCTGGTTAATTTTCAATGGTGCCTGCTTTGCATATTTTTTATTCACCTGTGCTTTCAACCGCCGACGAGTTTTCGACATTTGGAATCGGTGCCCTTGTCGACTAGAAAACAATCAGCATACCGTCTTTGGTTCCTGCCCACACGACACACGTTTCCGTGCGTTCCACCGTTGAACCGCTTCGTGCCTTCCCGCACACACGTTTTTTTGTCTCCGTTTGTCTTCTCTAGGGTGGGTGGCACACCCCCTGCGCCTCCAGGTCCAGCATCACCGGTGCCAGCTCCAGCATCGGCGCCAGCTCCAGCACCGGCGCCCGTCCCAGCACTGGCGCCAGCTTCAGCACCGGCGCCAGGTCAAGCATCGGCGCCAGCTTCAGCACCGGCGCCCGCTTCAGCACCGGCGCCCGCTCCAGCACCGGCAGCAGCAACGCCGGCAGCGGGAGGAGCGCCGGTGGCCAAAGGTGATGCATCCGGCGACATGATGTTTCCCGGAGAAACAGAGCGGGGAGATGGGCTCGGCGGCGTTCTCTTCGGTACGCCGGCAGAGAACAAGAACAAGAGGAAGAAAGGACAGCTGGAGTTGGAGCCGCCGGGCTTCCCGATCCCCGAGTTTGGTGGCGGAAGCCAACGGAAGCGCTACCCTCTGAAATTTAAGGTGGATGCGGTGAGGTACTCACAGAGGAGGGTCAAGGGGGCACAAGGGCCGGACGGGACTGTTGGGATAACCTACGCGAGCAGAGTCCTGGGCATTCGCGACAAATCGACGTTGGCGTTGTGGGTCAAGGAGATCGACAAGTACGAAGCCGCGCTGGCGAAAATGGACACGTACAAGGGCGGAGCGAAGCGCAAGAAGACGCCAGCCAACAAGCGCTTGTCGCTGCATGCCGGACGGATCCGGACGCACACAGCGGCCGAGGGCGAGATCGTGGACTGGATCAACGAGCTGCGTTCTGAAGGCATCTCCGCCCGTGTTTCGACGAAAATGCTCAAGAACAAGGCCGTCGAACTCAACCCGAACTTCTTCGGAGAGAGGCCGGCGCCATCCGATCTCCAGGGCTGCCAGAAGTACAACAACAGGCAGAACCAGTGGTGCAGGAGGTTTCTCAGGGTCTACCGCTTCTCTGTGCGAGCGGTCACCCGACAAGGCCAGAAACTTCCTTCTGGCTGGCCCGTGATCGCCATGCAGGCTATCAAGGAGTGGAGGACGCTGAAGTACGACGTGCCTTCCGCGCTCGAACTTGCGGACGGAGTCGAGTGCCTGGGAGTTGCGGCAGGGGCGGGAGCCAGCGCGAGCGGCAGCGGGGGTGGGAGTGGCGCTGTGATTCCTTCGGGTCCGCGTCTCAAGTTCGACTTGGCGCAGATCGGCAACATGGACGAAACCCCCACGTGGTTCGAGAGCCCGGGGAAGGACACTGTGAACGTGAGTACGTACGTATTAGTTTTGCTCTAGATTTTGCTCTTACTGCGTTAGATGTTGCAATGTTGTCCTTTCCTGTGCCAACGATTCTTTTGGGCCACCCTTTGGATGATGAACTTTCTACGTGTGCGAAATTTTCGTCTTTTCCTTCGTTTCCTGTTCTCCTGTGATTCTGATCAAGTGTTTTTGCACGCACTGCTGCCACTTTCCGAATCTTTACAACAAAAAATAGGGTTTTCGCCTGATTGAGAGCGGAGTTTACGATAGAGAGCGGGAGCCAAAAAAATTGAAATTTCGGGTCCAGACGCCTCTTGCCATTTCTTGGCAAGTAGGGGACGGGCTATTCCAAGAAGCGGTGCAAATTGAAGGTCTCATCAGCAGCTTCGCGAGCATATGCGTGTCATCGTCATCGGATGCTGCAGCGAGGAGCTAGACAAGTTGCTAGATTTGCCCAGATTGGCTATTT